CCCCCTTCAGAGCATCCGGGCATTGGGCCCCCCCCAGGGGGGGGGGGGGGGGGGGCGGGGGGCGGGCTTCTCTCCCTCATCCTACTTATGGCCTCACTGCCATCTCCCCCCTCCCCCTCCCCGTCTGTCTTTATTCTCTTTGCAGCAGAAGACCCCCTGCTGCGCCCAGCCGGCCCACCATTATCCGCCCAGCCGAGCCATCCCTGCTCGACTAGGCTGCGGCTGCAGGGGGGGGCGTGTTCTCAGGGGGTCCTCGCACACCCGCGGTGCAGGAGCTTCGGTCTGGGCCCCTCCGCTGCCCCTGGCCCCGTCGTCCGCGTGCCAGGACCAGGCTCCCTGCGGGCAGCCCCTGACTCTTCCCTAACCTTGGCCCCCATCCCCGTCTGCTGCACACAGCACTGACCGAAGGGGCCCTGGAGCCCCCGGGCAGGGAGGGGGGGAGCCGGGGTGGTGCACTTTGGGGGATGGAGCCTCGGGGTAGCAGAGGAGGGAACGCACTCTGGGCGCCATCTCGAATGAGGACTCGGGCCGGGGTGGGGGACTGGCCCAGGGCTTCTCTGGCCAGGAAAGGCCGAGAATAGAGGCACCCGGAGTGCCTGGATCCCCCAGGCCTTCCTGGGGCCCAAGGAGCATGTCCGCTTCTCAGCAGCGGGAGCTCCCGGCAGCAAGCCAGGCCCAGCAGGCCCAGCAGGCCCAGCGCTGCCCGCCCTGCCTGAGTTGTAAATATTCCTTCCTCGGCCTCGGCTGCCGGAGGTGCCTTTGCCAGGTCCGGAAGCCTCAGCCCTGCCGGCCTCACTCTCTCCTCCCTGGGTCCCCCCCTCCCCCAGGTCTCCGGGGTGGCTTGGGCTCAGGGCTGAGTGAGTGGGGAGGCTTTGAGGGGCTCCTGGCTCCTACCCAGGCCTCCCCCACGGGGTGGGCCCCAGGTGGCCCATCACTGAGCAGACCTCGCTCGCTCCTCGCTCGGTTTGACCACTGTAAGTGCCTGCACTCTGTATCCTATTAATAAACTAAAATAAAGGGAAGAAGCTTCTAGTGGCTGCTGTGTGGGCCTTTTGTGTTGTCAGGCTGAGGATGTGGACTTGCTCCCCGGGCGCCCCCCCCCCCCCCCCCAGCAGGCCTCCCTCCCACCCCCGGCTCTCACACCCCACTCGCGGGGCTCTGCTCTTGGCGAGAGGGTTCACTTCTTCCAGAGACAACCATGCTCTCAAGGGAAAATCCTTTCTTTCCTTAACACCTCAGGAGTAGGGGCAGATGTTCCCCTCTCCCCTTCCACACATACTAACACGGGCCTGGCTGCGGCCCCTAACGCACTGGTGTGGAGACCCGGATGCAGGCCTAGGGTGGGCATCAGAATCACTAAGGGGAGAGAGGATTCCACCCCGAACCGCAGTGGTCAGGACCCTTCCCCACTGCTGTAGTCCTAAGGACACCCCCTCAGGTCCCAGGCCTCCTGGCCCAGCCCCGGTCACAGTTAAACTTTGCTTTCTGATTTTTCTCTTGTGCCCAGGCGACCACCTCCATCGGCTCCCGCCCGACCTTTCTTCTGAACTTCGTGGGAGACCCCTCCCGCCTGTCTGGTTTGCCCCCTTGGGGCCAGGTCTGTCCCGGCTGGTGTCCCTGAGCCCCAATCACCAGGCTCTGTGATTTTCTGACCATAATTTATTGACTTCAGTGCCCAGGCCAGACCACCCTTTGTTCTGTGAGTCTCCTGTGCAAGGTTTGGCTGGGCTACCCCTCAGCTCTGCCCGGGGCCCCCGCAGAGAAAGCAGCAGGGGCGGGTGGTCTCGCAGTCTCCACTCTTCGAGTTCTGTTACCAGACCTCACAGTGAGCCTCCCCCCTGCACTGGGCTGAGGGGCTGGGCTCCTTCTCTCAATAAAGTGACTGTCCTGGCAAGAGCACTGTTGTCTCCTTCCCAGCCCCTGGTGTCAGCGGGTCACCCCCAGCCCGGAGCCACCCCCAGCAGCAGCAGGAACAGGCCTCTGGTGGGGTGACAGGGAGACCAAAGAAGGCACGGGCCCCACAAACAGCAAGCCCCCTCCCACCACAACCTGGTTCAGAAGGCCAGTAGGGAAGGGAAGGGAGAGTTTGCTTCCCGGGCCCCATCCCACACCTAGTGCCAGTGCAGTGCTGGAAGACTCAGGCTAAGGCACACACATTTACAGCAGGGGACACGGAGACGAGCCACAATACCCAAGGGTTGCATTCAAATGCTGCGGTGCCCCCGTCCGTGCACCATTTCCAGGAGAGCAGGTACAGCCACTGAGCTGCCCCTCCCGGAGGGCCCAGGTCCGTCAGCCAAGCCAACAAGTGTTTCTTGCCTGGCCCCTCCAAGGGAGAGGACACTTGAGGGCCACACCTCCGGCCCTGACTGTATAGCCTCCCCTCCCGAAGGAAACTCAGTTGGGGAAGGGACCCCCACGTCTCACACACGTGTACCCTGCTGCCCTTTCCCCGTTCTTCCTTCCGGGGCTACGTAGGCACAGGGCGCTTGTCCTGGAACAAGCGCTTGAGCGTGCAGACCTGTAGCACGGCCACCAGCAGCAGCACGGCCACGTTCACAGCAGACCAGAAGTTGACCCGCTCCAGGTTGCCTTCCTGCAGGTTGCGGTCACGTGCCTCAAAGGCCCGCAGTAGCGTCAGCATCTGGATGCTACGCTCCAACCGGGTCTTCATGGTCTCGATGGATTCCTGTGGGGCAGAGAGAGGGACAGGGTCAGGCCTCCGCCTCTCAGGGAGCAGAGACCAATAAAACCAGGGGGAATGGGGTGAGCTAAGATCACAGACTCTATGGCCAGGCTGCTGTGAGTCTTAAATCTGCTCTCTGTACCGAGTGGCTATGTGACCTTGAGCAAGCTAATTGACCTCTCTGGGCCTCTGTTCCCTCCGAATTGCTGTGAGAGTTACATGCCTAAATAAGTGTAAAAAATGTACTTAGTAGTAGTCAACAGCACAGTTGCTAAAGCCAGACTGCCCGGGGTTCAAATCCTCGCTTTGCCAGTTGCTAGCTGCGTGGCCTTAGCCATCCTGTGCCTCAGTTAGAATGGGGCATTGAGAACACACTACCTACTTCATGCGGAGATTTCATGAAATATTTAAGCCCTCCTACACCTAGAAATGTATTATTTTAACTGTGAGCTGCTATTAACATAATTAAGGTGGGGGCACCAGGGAGGCTGGGTCAGGCGAATGCGGACCCCAGCCTCTGTGGAAGAACGGGAGCGCGGCTGCCCAAAAGCCGGAGATGTGGGATGAGTGGCCCCAGTTCAGTCTGAGCGCACCTTGATGTCTCCCATCTTGACATCCAGCATCTCCTCGGGCTCCACGGCCTCTGCCCAGCCTTCAACCTCCTCATCGTCCTGCAGGCTGTCAAAAATGAGTTCAAAGAACACCAGCTTCTCTGAGATTGTGCTGAAGGAGTTGTCAAAGCACAGCTTGTAGTCCCCGGCCTCCGTGGGCTCCACTCTGGAAGAAAGACACACAGATACACGTGACCCTGAGTGGCCCACCAGCTGGACCTTGAGAGGCAGGGAAGGTGGTAACCTGAGGCCGCTGGGGAGGGGCAGGGCTGAAACCGAACCCAGGCAGACAGTGGGACTGAACTCACGTGTGCACCCCATCTGCCTTGCGGGACTCGCTGACCAGCAGCACGCCCTGAGGGCTCTCCAGCGTGAAATCCACGTCCAGTCCAGCACCTCCGATCACCTGGGAGGGCAGGTAAGAGAGGGTGGAGGGCTAGGGGTAGGCCAAGAGCAGCTGCCAGGGAAAGCCAGACCCATACAGATCACCAGAAGGCTACCTAAGCCCTGACATCTACACCTGCGACCTGGTGCCGCCCGACCTGTCCCAGGTAGACCTTAGCCTTGGCTCTGTCTTCATTGATATGACCGCTTTGGGTTTGGCTCTTTCATCTGGTCACGCCCGCGTCGTAAATCCTTGATCGACGTTTACCTGGCCACACACCAAATGAGGGGACAGGGCCCAGCTTTCCTTAACCCAACCCCTGCGAAATCCTCTTGCTGGCCACGCCCTTTCTTGTGGCGCGTCTTGGTCACACCCACCGACTCTGGCCGTCGCAAACTCTTGGCCACGCCCACTCGGGAGGTTCCCGCCCCGTGAAAGGCTCCCCGTTATAACCTATGGCCCCGCCCCTTCTGGGTGTCTCACTCTAGCCCCGCCTCCTGCCATTATTCCCACCCCCTCCGCTCTACACGCCGTCTCCACCAGCTCCGGCTAGCGCTCCCTAGCTCCGCCCCCGCGCTCTTACGCACGGGCTCCTCCCCCTTCCTCTAATGCATGCCTCGCTTCAGCTGCCTGGCCACGCCCCCTCACCCAGGCTCCGCTTGTTTGCTGGCTCCCCAACCTGGGACCCTCTACCTGGTACTCCGTCTCGAGGCTTGCGTTGGCAGGCGCTGACTGGTAGAAACACTGTTTCCTCCCCGCAGGCAGCAGGAACGTGAACTCGCCGTCCTGGATCGGCGGTGGCCCTGCCCCTCCCACCCCCACCGGCGGCAGTAGTAGCCACAGTGCCAAGGCTAGGGCCGCTCCGGCCGCCATCATCCGGGTCACCCTCCGGTCTGCTAAGAGGTCGTGGTTCCTTTAAGGGCTAGCCCTGCCCCTTCTGCTACTCGGCGGAGCTCATTGGCAGCCGCTCCATGAAACCAGCAAAGAGAAAAATGAAGGGCCCCTTGAGCGCTTAGCTGCCCGAATGAGTGCCCGATGTGCCTAACAACGCTCGATCATCTGGAGGGTTTTTTTTTTTTTCTCCTGAGTGGCCTCCGGCTGTAGTCTCAACCGATGATGGGGAAAAAAAAAATGACAAAAATAAGTACTATGATGGTGCATCTTTCTCAGGCAAAAGTTAAGACAACTAAGTCGGAGGCGGGCCGGGACCTTCTAAAGCCCCTCACTGAAGTTTTCCCAGAGTAAGCTGCGCGCTACCACCGATGAGCGAACCTGTCTGGGTGGAATGGACCTGTACGCGATCCGTAGGGCTCAAGTATAAAATGATTCCACGGGGCCAGGAAGACCTTTTAGTGTTGATGTGGGCTCTGTGTCGTCTGTAGAGTCTCTCCCTTTATTCCTTAGACCTGTCGCTTTGTCAGTTTCCTCGTCTGTAGTTGGAGTGATGGAACGACCACCCCATAGGGCGGCTGTGAGAGTTGAGATGGAACCCTTGGGCTAGCGCTCATTTTTCCTGGCGTAGAGCCAGTACAGGGGCCTAGCCCTCCCTACACACCAACGGTCTCAAACTCTGGGGGACCAGCAGGTAAATAGAGTAACTGAAGTGACTCAGGGTAAGAAAAACGACAGCCAGATTGCTTGAGAGTTAGAAGAGGGTGTGGGCCTGGGAGCCACGAAGGCTAGTTCCAACCACTCCCCACCCTTGGCTTGAAGACATCACCGTGCGGGGCCTCTGTATCCTCATCCATAAGATGGGGGTGATACTCGTCCTATCTCACTGGGCTGTTGTTGAAGATTAAATGAGAGAATGCTTGTTTAGCGCTTAGCACGGTATAGGCTCTCGGTAAATATTTATTATCTGTTACCTTCCAGGCTTATTGCCCACCTCTTCTCCCTGTTTGGCTTAGAGTGTTTGGAGGCGACCTCCCTCTGGGAAGCCGACAGATAAGCAGAGTCACTGTAGAAACGGACTCTGATTGATGATTCTGTCTAGCATTAAAAAAAAAAAAAGTTTAGACGGAAATGTTGAGTCTTTAAAGACAGGCCTTGGAGTGGTTGGCATTTGGTGACAGTTACTCTTCAAATACAGCTGATGGCTGTCCCCTCCTGCTTTTGGAGAACTTGGGGAAGTAACACCACTTGGTTACGTCAAAGATCATGGACAGTCAATGTTAGTTATTTCTTTTCACTTCCCCAATTGTCTGTCATTCAGACTTGCCGCTTGGACGTTTTGAAGTAGTTGTGGAGAATAGGTGATTTTTTTTTTTAAGTTTATTTACTTATTTTGAGAGAGAGAATGCGAGCGGGAGGGTGGGGGGGGCAAAGAGAGGGAGAGAGAGAATCCCGAGCAGGCTCTGTGCTGTCAGCACAGAGCCCAATGGGGGGCTCAATCCCACCTGAGCCAAAATCAATAGATGCTCAGCTGACTGAGCCACCCAGGCACCCCTAAAATTAATGATTTTAAAGTGAGTAATTCAGTGGTATTTATTACATTCACAATGTTATGCAACTGCTATTTTTATCTACTTTCAAAACATTTTCATCAGCCAGAAAATAAACCCTGTACCCGTTAAGCCTGTACGTCATCTGCTCCCCGCCCCCCACCCCATCAGCTCTGGCAACTACCAACCTGCCTCTATGAATTTGCCCATTCTGGATGCTTCATGTAAATGAAATATGTGACCATTTGTGTCTGGCTTCTTTCACTTAGCATAATGGAGGTTCCTCCTCCTAGCATGAATATTTAATTCATTTTAATGGCTGAATAATAGTCCATTGTATGGATATTCCACATTTATCCATTCAACCATTGATGGGCATTGGGGTTGCTCCCATCTTTTGGACATTGTGAATAGTGCTGCTATGAGTATTTTGAGAATCTGTTTTTAATTCTTTACGGTATACACCTAGGAATGGAATTGCTGGGTCATATATAACTTTTTTTTTTTTTTTTTTTTTTTTAAGCAGAGCCTGAGACAAGGATTCAGGCACACATGCTTTGATTTCTTTTAATGTTTATTTATTTGAGAGAGAGCAGGAGTGGGGGAGTGGCAGAGAGAGGGAGACACAGAATCTGAAGCAGGCTCCAGGGTCTAAGCTGTCAGCACAGAGCCTGATGCAGGGCTCAAACCCACGAACCACAAGATCATAACCGAAGTCGGTCATTTAATCAACTGAGCCACCCAGGCGCCACTCTATGTTGAACTTTTTGAGGAACTCCCAGACTGTTTTCCACGGTGGCTGCCCCATTTTGTGTTCCCACCAACCACGTATGAGGGTTCCAATTTCTCCACATCCTCATCAACACTTGCTGTTTTCTATTTTATTTGCATTATAGCCATCCTAATGGGTGTGAAGTGGAATCTCATGGTGGTTCTGATTTGCATTTCCTTGATGTTGGGCTTCTTTTCAGGTGCTTCTTGGCCATTTGTATCTCTTGGGGAAACGTCTGTTCAAGTCCTTTGCCAGTTTTAAAATTGCGTTGTCTTTTTGTAGTTGAGTTACAAGAGTTATTTATATATTATAGAGAGCAAGCAGAAGAAAGAAAAACAAAAACTTCCCCGGATTTATTTTGGGGCACTCCCTCAATGCTTTTTCAGGCATTTACAACTCTGCCTTGCCCTTCACTTCCTGTTTGTGCTGAGCCTAGAGATGAGCCAGGAAGCTTAGAGACTTCTCCAGTCTTTTCTGAGCGCTTCTGCCCTGGGCATGCACATTGCTTTCTAAATCCCCCAGGATATATGGGTGCTTCTGAATGTCCGAACTACCCAGAGAAATGCTCACCCCAGCTTTTTCTCCTAGCTTGTGGCACGCCTATTGGGAAAATCTAATAAAAGGAAACCGCCTTTAAAATGGAGTCAGGAGGGGAGCCTGGGTGGCTCAGTTGGTTAAGCGCCCAACTTAGGCTCAGGTGGTGATCCCACTGTTCGTGGGTTCAAGCCCCGCATTGGGCTCTGTCTGCACTGACAGCTCGGAACCCACTTTAGATCCTCTGTCTCCCTCTCTGCTCTGCCGCCACTCATGCCCTCTCTCTCTCCAAAAGAAACAGAAAAAAACTTTTTAGACGGAATCAGGACACAAGGGCTAATGCTCACACCCTACCACTCATTGTTCACTGCAGACCTGACAGGAAGAGACATACCTTGCAAATTGATAGTTTCCTACCTGATTTTCCTACCTCAGGAGGAGAAAAGGTTGTCCCTTCCCCTGGTAACAGCCCAGCCAATGAGACACTGTCACCACTCAACCAATGAGACATCGCTACACTTCCAACTCCCAGTTTAATCCAATGGACCTCTTGTTCATAACAGCCTTCCTGGCTCCCCCCTTTCCTCTATAAAAGAGTGTTCCTCTTTTCGTTCTCCGGACCTGTCCATGCTTTTGCTTCAGCTTGCTTGTCCTTAGTTGCAACTCTGTGCTTTTCCTGAATAAACCCATTTTTGCTAGTAAAACCGTTGGTTAATGTCGTCCCCAGTGACAACATCTTGCCCCAGGTGGCTGTGGGTTTTCTCCTTTGCCTTACACTATTTTCCAGGAATGCATTCTGAGTTCAACAGACAAAGCGCCTTGAGTCTGTCCCACAGGTAGCCCTCAGACATGTTAGAACGGACAAACACAATACTGCCAACCTCAGAGACCCAGGTACTGGAGCCCCATACTGGGAACATGGGCTGCTGTCCTCCAGACCTCCACCATGCTGGGAAGGAGCTGAGGGCAGGGTAGGGAAAACAGCACAGAGCTTTCCTCCCACGTTCAAGGTTCCTTTTCATTTTGATTCAGTGTTCACTTGGTTGGCATAAACCCTTGGCTGTTTTCCAAAGTTCAGATAAAGTTGATTGTGACTGTGTTTGCTCAGTTTGTCAAAGCTTCTGCCCAGGGACGGGCCCTCGGAGCTACCAAGTCCGCAACTTCTGCCGATACCTGGGGCCTGAATGGGTGACTCTTGTGTCCTTCGACTGAGCAAAAACTCTCCCCTGTCCAAGTACTTAACAAATATTTGCTGAGTGTCTCCACTGTGAATAAAACAGACTCTGTCCGTGTCCTCATGAAGCTGCCATCCCAATGTAGGAGCCAGCTCAAACAGGCTCAGCACTCAGACGCCTTCAGGTAGTTACAGGCGTTAAAGAGTAAATGCTAGGTGGTAGATGGATGGCTCATTTCACCTGGGTGGAGTCAGGGAAGGCTTCTCAGAGGAGGTGGCATTGAATCTCAGACTTGAAGTCGAAGGGAGAGGAGGCAGGTGGAGAGAACAAGAACAGTGCCCTGAGGTGGGAAGGTACTCCGAGGGCTCAAGGGGCAGCAAGGAAGTGGAGTGGAGGGAGGGGAGTAGTCAGAAAAGTGATGGGAGCAGCTGTGCAGGCCGCATGTATAGGGTCCCTCTTCCCTTGTAGCACTGGCCCCGTAGTCAGCCTGGGGCTCTTACGACCATGGGGAGTTTGCAAACTAGCTTCTGGAGGCCACGGATCCCCCGAAATTATAATCAAAAGATTCTGAGAGTGTGTGCTGGGCAGTCTTTGTGTCCCCCACCCCCACCCCAGGGCCATTCTCCACCCTTTCCTGGCCTGCTCTGGAGGCTGATCTCTACACACCGGGTCAACTTAGCTGCCTTTCCCTCTCACATCCAGTTGGGGTTGGCTCTGGCAGGAGATCTGAGGGCCGGAGAGGAAGGTGTAGGTGTATATATTCTAGCTCCCACCCTGTTGGTCTGCATGCTTCTACCAAAGCCCACGACTCCAGCCCTCTCCAAGTTCCACAACTACCTTCCTCCCTAGCAACTTCAGGCCTGAGCTGGTAACAGCTTCCTGACCCTGGGGAGTCAGCATCCCTTGCTGATTTCGCTTCACTCTGCCCATGACTCCTCAGTTGTACCTCTCACGGCTGCTATCTGTGACTAATACAGGTAAGTGTGTCTGTTTTTCTGAATTCAGAATTCTAGGTTATAGATTCCTGCACCATGTTAAATGCTCCCAGGATGGAGTCCTTAACATTCATCCAAGGACTTTAACATCTAGTATTCCCTTCACCTAGAGTGTCCTTCCCTTGTCTCCTTCTCAGGCTTTTGCAGTCAGATAACACCTCCTCCCAGAAGCCTTCCCTGAACCTGCTGAAGCCAGGTTAGGACCGTCCCCTTGGTGATTGCCTCCATTATAGCACTTCCTCAACTGGACTCTCACTGTCTGCTTGTCTGACTCTCTAACCAAACTCTGAGCATCCTGAGGGCAGGAGACTTTTTTATTCCTCATGGTGTCCCTGGAACTTAACAAAGTTCTGAGCCCTTGATGAAACACTAAACAACTGGTAGAATAGATAAGACAGGAATCTCTCTTAACTCTGTTTCCTACACACCCAGGATAGAGCAATAAAAATAGACTAAATGAATATTTTTTGGCTTTCAGGTCAGACAATCAAGAAATAATTGTGGGTCAGGGGTACCTGGGTGGCTCAGTCAGTTAAGTGTCCAACTTTGGCTTAGGTCATGATCTCACAGTTCATGAGTTCAAGCCCCACATAGGGCTCTGTGCTGACAGCTCAGAGCCTGGAAGCTGCTTCATATTCTGTGTCTCCCTTGCTCTCTGCCCCTCCCCCACTCACACTCTGTCTCTCTGTCTCTCTGTCTGTCTCTCTCTCCAAAATAAACATTGAAAGAAAGAAACAAAGAAAGAAGGAGAAAGAAAGAAAGAAAAAAAGAAAAGAGAAAGAAAGAAAGAAAAAGAAAGAAGAAGAAAAAGAAAGAAAGAAGAAAGAGAAAGAAAGAAAGAAAAAAGAAAAGAAAAGAAAGAAAAAGAAAAAGAAAGTGAGTTGTGGTTTACTGTGTGCCAAGCACTGGGGTAAGCATTGTGAAACTACAAGAGGCACCACAGACCCATCCCTGCACCATGGAAGGAAGAGAGGAAGGAAGAGAGCTGGATGAATTCAATAAATTCAAGCATGTTTTGTAAACCACCATAACCTAATTTAATGGATATTTACAGAATATTATACCAAAACCCTGCAGAATGTACTTTCACTTCAAGTGCATATAGAATGTGGATTGAGATATGCTGGGCCATTAAACAAAGAATCAATAAATATCAAGGGACTGAAATTATATGGAGTGTGTCCTCTGACCACAAAGGAATTAAATTAAAAATCACTAACAGTAAGCTATCTCAAATGTTTGGAAGTTGACACATTTCTAAATAATGTGTGGGCCATAGAAAAAATTCACAAGTGAAATAAGAAAATATTTCTACTTAAGCACAATATGTCAGAGTGTTTGGGATGCAGTTAAAGCAGCACATAGAGGGAAATATATAGCTTTAAGTGCTTATACACGAAGATAAAGTTTTAAAATCAATATTCTAAACTTCCATCTTAAGAACCTGTGAAGAGCCAATGAAACACAAGGTAAATAGAAGAAAGAAAAATAAAAAGACAAAAAGCAATTAAATCAAAAACAGAAAATAGAGAAAAACAACGAAGCCCAAAGCTAATACTTTGAAAAGATTAATAAAACTGATTAACCCCTAGCAAGACTAATCAAGAAAAAAAGAGAAACAACACATTACCATTTGAAAGAAGGAACATCACTACAGACCCTACAGACATTAAAAGTGTAATAAGGGAATACAAACAGTCTTATACGGATAAGTTCTACAACTTAGATGAAATAGACAAATTCCTTGAAAATATAACATGCCAAGTTTAATAAAAGAACATCACAATGCACTGTAGTATAATTCAGCAAGGAAATTTTTCTAAGTCCAGAGAGATCTGGAAAGATTTCTCAGAAGCAATATTTAAGCTGAGACCTGAAACAGAAGTGGAATTTTACCAGGTTTCCCACCTCCCCCCAGACAATTTATTAATTTTTTTAAGTTTATTCTTGAGAGAGAGAGACTGTGAGAGGGGGAAGGGCAGAGAGAGAGGGAGATACAGAATCCAAAGCAGGCTCCAGGCTCTGAGTTGTCAGCACAGAGCCTGAAGCGGGACCCGAACCCACGAACCATGAGATCATGATCTGAGCCAAAGTCAGACACTTAACCGATTGAGCCACCCAGGTGCCCCAGAATTTTACCAAGTTAATAGAATTGTGTCCCAGGAAGGAGAGACAGCATGTACAAAGGTCCTGACATTGGAATGAGTTTTGTGTATCCAAATAGAAAAGTCCACAGTAATGACCCTTTTTGTTGTTTAGTGAACATATGCTTACATCCTTCCCTGGGGTAAACCTCCAGGTAGACCCGCTTGACCTGAACAGAAATATTTAGAGAGACCAAAGCAAACTTACTGGTAAGACAGACATTTGGAAGTCTCTGGGCTGTAAACAGGAGGCAATTTATTCTGTAAACTGTAACATTTCCTCATTTGGGAGCCAGGGTTCCCTCTCACCTGGCTGGTGACGAGCCTGTGGCCTCAAACTGGGAGCACTCACATCTCTAGGCATTGCACTTCATACCATGAGTTCCTTGGATCTAATACCTGCTACTCTTAGCCCCATTCTCCAGAGCAGTGAACTGAGACCTCACAGAAGGACCACATCTTGCCTGAGGTCACAGAGACCAAACACTAACCACTGTGCTTTACCAACTTCCCCCAAATATACATTTCAACTTTGGAACTGGTTGGGCTGAGGTTTGTGTTTTGGGCATAGGTTTCCCAAATAGCCCATGGTCCTTGCCCTTCCTCTTCAGGAGGAGAAAACACACACACATACACACATGTACACACACACACACACACACACACACACACACACACCTGACCATCTTAGCCATTTGTCTCTCCTCCCATCTCTACAGAACAGTGGCCACCAAGGTGCAGAGCAGTGCCAGGATCTGATGTGCATCCGTGGAAGGGGCGGGGAGAGGAGAGAGTCCCTTTCAGTAGCCAACTGTGTGTGTGCAACTTCCTGCCAGTGAGGAAACATTCGTTCAAATCAGCCCTGGTTCTCCTTTCCCTGCTCTGGCCTCACAGGAGGAGTTGGCAGTGAGCTGTGGGCTGCACTGGCCTCAGCCAGACTTCCTGGCCAAGCTCAGGAGGAGAGATGCCCTGGACTGTCCTGCTCTTTGCAGCCGGTGAGCCTGATGTCCCCTGCGCCACCCCCGCCCTGCTCCCGCCACCCTTGCCCACCTGACTCTGCTCTGGGGGCAGGAAGCAGCACAGGGCTGCCTTCTCCAGGTGCCGGAGGAGGCTGAGCCCTGACAGATCTGCCCCAGGGCTTTGGAAGGGCCCAGGAGCATGGCTTTCTCTTAACGGGCTCCTCATCAACCCCCCCCCCCCCCATCAAGGATATCAGAAATCCCACCCCACCGGGACAGCAGTGCCCACGCCCCATGACTCAGCCCCACTTGGTTTCTACAGGCTGCTACCTCCATGGCTGGGGCACCAAGAGGATCCGCTGGGGGGTGGGGGAGTAGCTGGGCAAAGGTCCGGAGACTGGACAATGTAGATCTCACTTGAGCTAGACATTCTGCTCAGGAGCGTGGGGGCAGCTGGGGAGACACTTGTCCCTCCTACAGGAAACTGTACCCCGAAAACTCCGATTCCTCACCACAGCCTGGGAAACAGGAGAAACCCTCTGCCTTCCGTTCCTCCTGTTCTTTCCCCGGTTCATCCCCTCCAGCCACCCTGGCTTCTCAGAGAACCCCACACCCTTTCCATTGTCCCAGCATGTGCCTGTGTTCCTCCCTCTGCCTGGAATGCTCTCCCCCAGCTCTTCCCGTGTCACCTCTTCAAGGAAGCCCTCCATGGCTGCTCCAACCAAGGCAGCCTTCCCATTATCCTGTCTGGGGTGCGCACAGTGCTTCTTGCATCTTTGAGAACATCAGCCCCGCCCCCCCCCCCGCCGAGGCGGGCATGTCCAGCTGTCTATGTCGTTCGCTTTCGCCGCTCTGTCCCCGGCCCCTGAAACAGGGCCTGGCATACAGTGAGTGCTGTTGATCGAAGCGGCAAGGGTATAATTGCATTGCTATGCGAGAACCATTGCTGTCATAATAAAATGACTCAGCAACAGTGACCGTCCCCCCCAACCAGGTGCTAGCACCCAAGCCCCTGAACACAGCAGCGGAGTAGGATGACAAGCCTCGGGTAGTAAATACAAACCAAGGCCCAGAGGGGGTCAGCCACTTGCCCAAGGCCACGGAGCCAGATGGGCCTCTGCTCTCAGCACTCACCCTGCGTCCCTTTTTTCTGCATTCCAGGCTCCTTGGCCATCCCAGCACCATCCATCCTGCTGGTGCCCCCACACCCCAGCAGCCAAGAGGACCCCATCCACATCGCCTGTGTAGCCCCCGGGGGCTTCCCAGGGGCCAATTTCACGCTGTACCGCGGCAGGCAGGTGGTACAGCTCCTGCAGGCCCCCGCGGACCAGCTGAGGGTCACCTTCAACTTGACCGGCGGAGGCAAGGAGGCTCCGGGGGGCACGTTTCACTGCCAGTACGAGGTTCTAGGTGAACAGCCGCAGCTGTCCGACCTCAGTGACACTGTGAGTGTCTCCTTCCCAGGTAAGGCCCTCCAGCGGGCCCCTCACTGCCTGGGGCTCCATTCTCTCACCGCTGAGCCTTTGCTTATGCTGTTCCCTCTGCCTCGTGGGACAAGCCAGGCCTCCGGCTTGCCAGCGCTCACCCACCTTTCCTTGGTCAGTCCTCAGTCATCCCACACGATGCGTCCTGCCATTCTCCCCATGTTGCAGATGGGGAAACTGAGGCATCAGAGATGGGGGGGCTCACCCAAGTCACACGGCTAGCGGGCAGCGGAGCTGGGGTTCCGTTGGCTCTGATATCTAGGCGTTAACACCTCCACACTCTGCTTCACCCTCACCTCCTGGCCACGTAACATTTTTGAGCACCTACAGAGCACCAGGCTCTGGCGAAACAAAGTCCCTACCCTCTCACAGCTGACATCCCGAGGGGATGCAGACAGACGATAACCAAGGAGTCCAATATATAGTCAGTGTGCCAGCAGGAGACAAAGTGGCAGGGATGAAATACAGCCTGGTAAGGGGTGTCATTTTATTTTACTTTATTTTATTTTTATTTGAGAGAGAGAGTGTGTGTGTGTATGCATGAGTAGGAGAGGGACAGAGCGAGGGAGAGAGAGAGAGAGAGAGAGAGAGAGAGAGAGAGAGAGAGAGAATGAGAGAATCCCAAGCAGGCTCCACGTTCAGCACAGAGCTTGATGCAGGGCTCGAACCCACGACCCTGGGATCATGATCTGAGTGGAAATCAAGAGATGGTCACTCAACCAAAGGAGCCACCCAGGTGCCCCAAGGGTGTCATTTTAAATACAGACAGCGGCCAAGGAAAGCCTCTCTGAGGACCTGGATGAGGGGTCAGCCATGTGGGTAGCTGGGGCAAAAGGGTCCCAGCCAGTGGGAGCAGACTGTGCAAAGGCCCTGAGGCCGGAACACGCCTGGTGTGATTGAGGAACACAGAGGCCCTCTGTAGGGCTGAAGCATGGCGGGCGAAGAGGAAAGTTGGGGGACAAGAGAGCAGGGAGGTGGCAAGGAGGATCGTGCTACACCTTTGGCTGCATTAAGGACTTTGGCTTTTCGTCTCAGTGAGACAGAAGCCCTGGGAAGGCTGATATTTTTCTGTGGTCTTCTCAGGACAGGGGGCTGGGTGTGGGCTCCAGATCAAGGAAGGAGCAGGAGGGAGGGAGGAGCCTCCAGGTAAAGCCTGTGCATCACCATCAATCAGAACATTCCAGCTGCAAAGAGAACTTTGTTGCTAGCAGAGGCCCCCACTTAAAGAGAACTTTGTTGCCTCCAGAAGGCCTAGTCATTGAGGTGACAGAACAGTCTGGGCCTTTGAGCTCCACTATCAAAGGCCCCCTTCTCTCACCTTGAGCCTGTGGTCTCAGAGTGGGGAGGTGACAACATCCCTCCTGCCCCAAATGAATGAATGAACAAGGACTAACAGTGTGAGAATACCAAGTATGTGTCTCTCCTTCCCCTTCCTGGCTTAGCTCCTGATCTCCATGGGGATCAGGTCATCTCCTCCTGTCTCCCCTGAGAGATCTCCTCTCTCCAGGGAGGGGCAGCCAACTCCCTTTCAGAGAAGTAAACTCTGAAGCTGGGGCTTCATGCTTTTGTGGCTGATTTCTGCATGGACCTCAGGGTCCACCATGGGGCTGGGGGTGGATGTCATCTGACCCCCTGGTACCCGGCTGAAGCCAGCAGGACCCTCAGGCTGCAAGTCACTGGAAACTTGGCTCAAACCGGTTTCAGAAACAAAAGAGAATGTGCTGGCTTGGCGAGCTGAGTCGGTATGCAGTTTTGGCTTCAGGCATGGCTGGATCCAGGTGCTCATAAAGAAGTCAGCAATCAAGTGCCACCTCTCCGTTCAGCTTTCTCCTATATCTTATTCTCAGGCAGGACCTCTCCTTCACGGTGTCAAAATGTGCCTCGAGGATCCAGATGTATATCCTACCAGCTTTGCAATTCTGGCCAAAAGAGTAACCCTCTCTTCCCAGTAGCCTAACCAGAGTCTCAGAATTAGCTCTCATTAGCTCAGCTTCGGCCACATGCCCATCCCCAAACTAATCACCATGGCTGGGGGTGGGGGAATATGCTAATTCACCAGCACGGAGGTTTGCTAGATCCCCAGTCCAGCTACACCAGTGTCAAATGGTTGGGCAGGATGGTGGGGGGAGGGCTGGATCCCCACGGCAATGATCACCAGCCCAGCAAGCAGAAGGAGAGCTCCAGCCAGACTCAAGGAGAGTGCCAGTATCCAAGTGGGCACTAGAGGAACACGAGAAAAAGAGAGAGGGGTCAGGGCAAATAGACACACACACACGCACACACACATTAAAGTTTACTTATTTATTTTGAGAGAGAGAAAGAGTGGGAGTGGGTGGCAAGGAGGGGCAGAGAAAGGGGGAGAGAGAGAATCCCCAGCAGGCTCCATGCTGTCGGCGCAGAGCCCGATGCGAGGCCCAGTCTCACAAATGGTGAGATCGTGACCTGAGCTGAAATCAAGAGCTGGTCTCTTAACGGACCGAGCCACCCAGGGGTCCCGATAGATATATTTCAATTATAAAATACATATAACATAAAGTTTAACATCTCAAGGACACTCACTCTGTTATGAGACCATCACCAAGGTCAAACTCCGGAACTTCGTCATCTGCCCAAACGGAAACTCTGTCGTTCCCTTTAAACACTAACTCTCCTTTCCTCCTCCCTTAGCTCCTGTCAAGCCCTGAGATTGACATTTAACACAACAACAACAACAACAACAATTTTACACGCTTGTTTGAAGTTTTTACCCTCACACATTACTTATGTCAGGGGCGGGGGGTTGCTGTAACTCTCCTGTTGAGGGGCACGTTGACAGAGGAGAAGGCAAGTTTGGGTCACAAACGTATGAGGGGGCCTTGGGATTCTTGTGTGTGTGTGTGTGTGTGTGTGTGTGTGTGTGTGTGTGTGTGTTTGCAAGCAGGATGCAACCATGACCAAAATCTAATAAATGCTTGTGTGTTTTTTTTTGTCCCCAGTGAAAGTAAAAAAAATGCAGAAGAAAAGGTGAGGCCATCATCTCTGGAGACCTTCAGAGGGTGGTTTGGGGGAAATGCATACCAAAGGGTTGGGGGGGGCGGTATAGTGCAGAAATTCCTGTGGGGTGTTAAGGACTCTGAGGCATGGCTGGGTTCTGGGGACAGAAGGGGACTTCCCTGGCTGGGTAGGAGCCCCATTCCACACAGCGCCCTCTGGTGGGAGGGCCGCTTAATGGGAAGGGGCACCATTTACAAAGTACGCGGGGTATGCAGGGCCCTCCGCTAGGACACTGCAGCTAGAGCCCGCAATAGCTCCCAGCTGCAGAGGAAGCTGGCTTTTTTTTTTTTAAGTTTATTTATTAATTTTGAGAGAGCGCGCACACGCGCACATGTAAGCTGGGGAGGGGCAGAAGGAGAGGGAGAGAGAGAATCCCAAGCAGGCTCTGCACTGTCAGTGCACAGCCCGACATAGGGCCCGAACTCATGAACCACGAGATCATGACCCGAGGTGAGGTGGTTGCTCAACGGACTGAGCCAGCCAGGTGCCCCTAAATAGCCCCATTTTATAGACAAGGAGACTGAGGCTCAGTACTGGGTCACACAGGGAGCAAGTGGCCGAGACTTCCTGACATCCCTTAACCAGTGCTGGGGGAGGGGAGTAGCACCCCCCTGGGGCTCTGCTGTGCCCAACTTGCAGCCTGTAGGCAGTGGCCCTGGTTCCTGGGCTTTTGTGATGTCCCAACTGGCCCCAGCCTCAGTTTCTCCTCTCTGAGAGAGGGGTGCCTCCCCGCCCCGGCTGCCTAGTGGCATAGAGCTAGCGGCAGCCCCAGGGATCGAATCCCGACTTCACCTGGCAGTGGGGCTCCTACAAGAGAATTTCCATCTGAGGGGACTTAGGGAGGAGCAAAGGAAGGTGTGGAGCGAAGGCCAAGTGTGGAGCCAGGGGCTTCCGGGAACAAGCCTCACGCCCTCCCGCCCTCCCAAATCCCTTTGCAGAGAGCGAGAATCCTGCTGGGCCCAGATCAACTTCACCACCACAGGTCTGTACCTTCTTACTCCGATCTCCTGCTGGGTCAGGGTCACCCCTTCAAAGCTCTATCAGACCTCATTACTTGCTCCTGAACACACCCTCCCCTGCCCCCCTCGCCCCCCCCCCGCCCCAGGTTCCAACTCTCACCTTCTCTCTTTGCCTCGTCCTCATTCTGTGGTCGTCCTGACCTCTGCGTACAACATACTTCCTCCCTCCGGTCTTAAAGGCCACCTTCTCCGGGAAGCCTTCCCTGACTCCTAGACAGGGTCTGGGCTGTCTACTTACATTGCCTCCAGCACCCTATGATTCTTCTTACCCCTCAGGAAAAACACAGGTAATCACTGCCTGCTGTGTATGTAATACTCGCCTCCACCGCTGGACGCTCAGTTCCACGGGGGACGGACGGCGTCTGTCCACCGGGGCGTGCTGGGCGCTTTGACCATGCCTGGCACTGCCCTTAAATGGAGCCCCCCTTGTGACCCAGAACGTGTCATTCCGAAGGCTTCCACCAGGGGGCGAGAGGCAGCCAGTTCGTGCTCTGCGAGGCTCAGGAAGGGCTCCCTCGCGGAGAAATTCCGTCCGCTACTTCTTTCACTCTCCAGCACATTTATTGAGCCCCTACTAGATGCTAACGTTTGGGGGAGGCGTCCCTCAATGACCAAGACAGGCGATCTTTGCCCGCAAGCCCATACTCCAGTGGGAAAACAGTCGATGGCATGTGGGACCCTGTCTGGGGTGAGGAGGGTGGTCCCGGGCGTGGGGAAATGAGTTGTAAGCAGAGACCGGCAGGTTCAGAGTAGCTGGGTGAAGGGCAGGCGATTGGAGGAGCCCCCGGGGCGGGGGAGGAGCTGAGAGGTGCTCTGTAAAGTGGGAGTCGAGAGGAGAAACCCATTTATCAGAGGGCAGCGAGGGGCCCCTGGGGGAGGGCTCCAAGCGGAAAAAGGACACCGTTCAGTTGGCGGCTGGGAATGGTTCACGCTGCGGAATGGGCTGCAAGGGACCAAAACATGCTGGGAGGCGGATCCCAAGCCCTTCATCTCGGCGGGCTTGAGGCCTGTGTTCTTAGGGGGAGGGCCCCCGGAGGGCGGTGAGCAGGGATTTTAAACTGGCCCCTGGTTTTCCTTTCTCTATTTTAGATATGACCTTTGACAATTCCCTGTTTGCCATCTCTACGGTAAGTCATTTCATTTCTTGGTTCTGGTTTTCTGCTGACCGTCCTAACCTTAGGAAGGCCTCCACCAGGCTGGGTCGACTAGATGTCTCGGAGCTTCAGGGGTCCTGGGAAAAGCCTAGAATCACTGAGCAGGGTTTTGTTTGTGAGCCAAGAGTTGGCTCTGATAAATCCCAGGGGATTGCAGGCAGCCACGTCCAGGCCTTGTGGGACAAAGGGCAGGATTCCCCCCGGGCTGGAGCACTGGGACGAGAACGGCACAAGGCTTCCAATTCTTCAGCGCTTCCTAATTTCTATGGGCGGAGATAGACGATGCCACGCGGGGTAAGAGTGAGGGGGAGCTCACTTCTCACTTAGATAGGAGCCCCAGGAAGCCTCAGAGACCGGCGACAAGCAGGGGGTAGCTATGGAAGATTGCTTCAGGCTCCGGACACGTTGTTGGCACGGTCCAGGATAACTGGAGTGGAGCCAAGTGAGGAGTCGAGGGGCGCCCCGCGGAGAACTTTGACTTTTTGCCCCAAAGTGAGGTGGGAGCCATGGAGGGTTCAGAGCAGAGGGAGGTGACCGAGACAGGTGCTCACAGGCGCCTTCTGGCGGCTGCAGGGAGGACAGACTTGGGGGGGGTGTGGACGCGCCGGAACGCGGAGGGGTGCGGGGATGCAGGTGGGGGCGGGGACCAGAGAGAGGCGACTGTGCTGGTCCAGACAAGCTAAGTGGTAGGTGGCTTGGTCCCGCGTGCTGGCAGCAGAGGTGGGAGAAGCGCACAGATTCAGGGGACAGGAATTCAGGGGGCAGGAAACACGGCGCTGACTTCGGATGGGATGGTGGGCGGAGGGAGCAGGAGGAGGGAGGCGTGGGGGAGCCCTGAGGCGCAGTAGGTTTGGAGGGACAAGAGACAGGCTGGCCCACCGGGCGATGCCCAAGGGCAGGTGGAGACGGGACTCTGGAGTTCCGGAGAGAGGAGCGTGGACATTTCAACTGGCCCCCCCCAGTCACAGGCGGCAGTCGCTGGTGTTCGAATGTGACCAGGAAAGGGAAGGGCCAGTTCAGCCCCGGTCTCAGCTCCCGGAGCAGCTCCTGTGCTGTTAAGAAACAGCCGGCAGCCAGGGAAGTTCTAAAACTTTCTGGGAGAAGCCACGCGGCTCAAGGCACCATCCTCGTGATTTTTCCTTTTTCCTTTTATAAAAAAAAAGACATTTACAGGGCGCCTGGGTGGCTCAGCCAGTTAAGCGTCCGACTTGCAGCTCAGGTCATGATCTCACAGGTCACGGGTTCAAGCCCGGCGTCGGGCTCTGTGCTGAACAGCTCAGAGCCCTGGAGCCCGCTTCAGATTCTGTGCCTCCCTCTCTCTGTGCCCCTCCCCTGCTTGTGCTCTGTCTCTCTTTCTCAAAAATACTAAACAAATTAAATAAAAAAAGACATTTACAACGAAACAAGTGGAAACAGATGAAGACAAGGAGAAAAGTTTAAAAAGTATCTTAGTCCTGGGGCGCCTGGCTGGCTCAGTGGAGTGGGCCAAGCGTCTGATTTGATGATGTCAACTACTCACGAGTTCCAGCCGCGCTTGGGGCTCTCTGCTGTCCTTCCAGGACCGGCTTCAGATCCTCCCTCTCCCTCGTTCTGCCCCTCCCCCCTCTCAAAACTAAACACTAAAAACATAAAAATGTTTCAAAAATAAATAAATAGTATCTTAGACTGGCTGGCTCAGTAGTGCATGTGACTCTTGATTTCAGGGCTGTGAATTCAAGCCCCACATGGGGTGTGCAGCCTACTTAAAAAAAAAGAAAAAGAAAAGAAAAAGTGTTTTAGTTCTTGTGACTCTATAGGTTTTTTGTTTTGTTTTGTTTTGTTTTAATTAAAATGGGGGGGGGCGGTGACTGGGTGGCTCAGTCAGTTAAGTGTCTGATTCGATTGTAGCTCAGGTCATGATCTCACGGTTCGTGAGTTTGAGCCCCGAGTTGGGCTCCAGGATGGTGGTGTGGAGCCTGTTTGGGATTCTCTCTCTTGCAAAACAAATAATCTTAAAAAATGGGGGGCTTGGCTCAGTCGGTTAGGGTTCCACCTTCGGCTCAGGTCATGATCTCACAGCTTGTGAGTTCGAGCCCCTTGTCGGTCTCTGTGTTGACAGCTCGGAGCCTGGAGCCTGTTTCAGATTCTGTGTCTCCCTCTCTCTCTGCCCCTCCCCCACTCGTGCTCTGTCTCTCTCTGTCTCTCAAAAATAAATAAATGTAAAAAAAAAAAAAACACATTAGAAAAAAATTGGGGCGTGCACCTGCCTGGCTCAGTCAGCACAGCATGTGATTCTTAATCTCATGGTCATGAGTTCAAGCCCCACATTGGGCATGGAGCCTACTTTAAAAATACATATTTTAAAATCATGAAATACATCCATATGTCAAAATTATATATATAGTAAAGTATCCTTCTGTCACTAACCCCTGCCCACCCACTGGTCTCCTCCACACATACAGGTAACCACCATTAGTAGCTTCTTCGTGTACATGTAAGGAAAGGTGAAAATAGGCCATCTACATTCTCACCCTTTCTCTTTCTTTTCTTTTTTTTTAAGTTTATTTATTTTGGGACAGAGAGAGAGAGTATGAGCAGGGGAGGGGCAGAGAGAGAGAGAGAGAGAGAGGGAGACACAGAATCCGAAGCAGGCTCCAGGCTCTGAGCCATCAGCACAGAGCCCGATGCGGGACTCGAACCCATGAACCGTGAGATCACGCTCTGAGCCGAAGTCGGACACCTAACCGCCTGAGCCACCCAGGTGCCCCGATTTTAACCATTTTTAAATGTTTATTTATTTTGAGAGAGAGGGAGAGAAAGGGGGAGGGGCAGAGGGAGAAGGAGACAGAAGATCCGGAGCAGGCTCTGAGCTGACAGCAGAGAGCCCGATGCAGGGCTTGAACCCGTGAACTGTGAGATCATGACCTGAACTGAGATTGGAAGCTTGACAGACTGAGCAACTCAGGCACCCCATACCGTGTTAACCATTTTTTAAGTGTCCAGTTCAGTGGCATTAGGTACATTCATCGTGTGCAGCCCTCCTCACTGTCCATCTCCAGGACTTTGTCTTGCAAAAGTGAAACGCCCCCCCCCCCCACTGTACACTAATTTGTCATTCTTAACAAATCCCAGCCCCCAGCAGCCACCATTCTGCTTTCTGTCTCTGTGGGTTTCTGTATTCTGGACAATTTATGTAGAAATGATGCCATATAGTGTTCATCCTGTTGTGTCTGGCTTATTTCATTGAGCACAATGCCTTCAAGTTTCATTCATGTTGTAACATGTGTCAGAATTGTATTCTTGTTAAAGGCTGAATAATATTCCATTGCATGTATATAGCACATTTTGTTTCTTTGTTCATCTGTTGAGGGACACTTGGGTTGTTTCCACCTTTTGGCTACTGTGAATTGTGCTGCTATGAACATGGGTGTGCAAATGTTTGAGTCCCTGATTTCAATTCTAGTTTCTTTCCGAAGCGTGAGAAGCTGTGCTGTTGGCTGCAATAAAAATAAAGCAGCTAACAGTTCTCCAGCTAGCTTGTATTGGGTTACCATACTGAAGGGTTAATGTTCACTTTATAATACCCTATGAAGTGGAGTTCACATTTTTTCCCCAAATGTTGATTTTTGAGAGAGAGAGAGAGAGAAGGTGGGGGAGGGGCAGAGAGAGGGGGAGACAGAGGATCCAAAGCAGGCTCTGCACTGACAGCAGAGAGCCCAATGCAGGGCTGGAACTCACAAACCATGCGATTATGATCTGAGCCAAATTCAAACGCTTAACTGACTAAGCCACCCAGGTGTCCCAGGAGTTGACATTTTAAAAAAATGTTTATTTATTTATTTATTGACAGAGAGAGAGAGAGAGAGAGAGAGAGCGAGCACAAGCCGGGGAGGGACATAGAGAGAGAGGGAGATACAGAATCAGAAGCAGGCTCCAGGCTCTGAGCTGTCAGTGCAGACAGACGTGGGGCTCAAACCCACAAACCACAAGATCATGACTTGAGCCGAAGTCAGACGCTCAACTGACTGAGCCACCCAGGTGCCCCTGACCTCTTTTTTTTTTTTTTTTTTTAATAGACAAGAACATTGAAGCTAATTATGGGCCTTAATGGGGTCATCCAGCTAGGCAGGTGCAGGACTGGGATGGAACCCCAGCCAGCTCTCACCTACCAAGCTTTGGTTTTAGTAAGTTCATCTATTCTTTTTTTTAAAAAAAAAATTTGTATGTTTATTTATTTATTTAGAGAGAGACAGAGACAGCATGAGTAGGGGAGAGGCAGCGAGAGAGGGAGAGAATCCCAAACAGGTTCTGCACTGCCAGCACAGAGCCCAATGCGGGGCTCAAACCCATGAACCGTGAGATCATGACCTGAGCAGAAGCCAGGAGTCAGCCCCAGTTCATCTCTTCTTGGCTGGCATTTGGGGCAGGAGCCTCCAAGGTGGAGGAAAGGATAGACTTCTGAGGAAGGTTTTGTGGGAGCCCAGGCAGGAGGGGAGGAGATGATGGTAACAGTTTTGTTCACTTAACAGTTGGTACTTGCCACGTGTCAGGCACTCTGTCTCTTTAATCCCTTTATGTTTTGTAGCAACTCTAGGAGGGGTGTATGAGCGTTCTTCCCATTGCGTAGAAGGAAAAAGTGAGGCACAGAGGGGTCAGGGTACTCCACTGACGTCAGACTTCTAGGCCAGGGCGGAGCTGGGGTTTGAACCCAGGCTGTCTGATTCCCTACCCAGCCTACAGGAAGTCAGGAGGACAGAAGGCAGGATCTGGGTCCTAAAGCTGTGGGTGTGTGCGAGGGTGGGGGGGTGTGAAATGGGACCTGAGGAACTGGGGGAGTCTCAGTCTCAGAATGTAGGGAGACCCGAGATCCAGAAACCCCAAATCACACTCTTCTCTGTTTTTCCTCCATGGACAAAGAAAATGAATCCAGAAGATCCAGCCACGCTGGATGCTTGCTCGGGCTCCGTCGAGACACCTGGCAACTCCGGGCCCCGGAAAAGGCCCACTTCCACATCTTCCTCGCCCGAGCCCCCCGAATTCAGCACTTTCCGGGCCTGCCAGTGAGGCTGAGGATCGGGGGCCCCTCTGTGTCTGTGCACTCTCCATTCAGCCCCCTGTCTTGAGGGCCTGAGGTTGCTCTAGCTACTTTGGGGTTTCTGGCTGCTGCCTTCTCAGGGAATTGAATAGAGGAGACCAAGAGAATCCTTGGCCTGGGGACCTTCCTCGACAGAGGAGCAGGAGTGGCAGAGGGGTCGCCCACATTGTCCTGGAAGCTGGACAGAAAGTGGGAGCACTCTTTGGATTCTACCCAGGAAGGAGATGTTAGGATCCCTGTGGCTCTCAGCTGGGCCATAAGAGGTCTGAATTCTCTGCACACCCTTCCAGTTTCCTCCTCCTCCTGTGGCGTCTGACTCGACCAGCCCAACTGGGTTTTTGGAGCATAGGGTACCTGGGGGTATGTTCTGTATGTCTGTCCTACTGGCATGCCTAAGTTATTAATTATAACACGTGTTGAGCTGTTCCCCAAATCTCTGTGGAGTGTAATCCTTCAAGCCCAGGATCTCTGGGTCTAATCACTGGATGCCTAGCGGGAGGGGAGCAGTACCCAAATGCATCAGGCTGTCAAGGTATATGGTGAGGCCCCTGGGGGGACAGGAAGGGGCCAGTGTCATGCGGGGTCTTTGCTAAAGTCCTTGCATTGGTGAGTACAGGGAGTGGAATGATGGGGGCTTGATGAGGAGGTCCAGAGAACTGTGGGAGCTGCAGAAGGTGGGAAGCCACCACAAGCCTTTTGGGACCCTCCGGAAGAGAATGGAGCCCTGGAGCAAGGGGGTCTTGGAAGATAGATGTATGTGTGTGTGCGTTTGTGTTGTGTGTGTCCCTGTGAAAAGGGGCACTTGATCCTGCTTTGCTGGATTCGTTGGCTAGCCAGCGCTGGGGGGAAGGGAGGGGCTTAAGGGAGGGACCCAGAAGGAGGGATTCAAGAATTTTTTGTGGGGGAAGAGATGGCCGCTGGATGGAGGAAGAGGGTGCTAGGGGAAGTGGGCGACGATGGGGAAGAGATAGGAGCAGTTGACTGCTGGGAGAAGGGACCTTTCCGCAGATTCAGGATGAGGGCGGAAGCTGAGTCCCACTTCAAACTGATTTTCTCTTCTGGAAAGCTGGGTGGG